TTAAGTAAAAGGATATGAACATGACTTGCAATGCTGCCTGGCTTGTAGTAAAAAGTAAATATTAGATGATATTATAATCACTGTTTTAATGTGATTTATAAGTAAATTGAAATTCGAATCATGACATCGGAAATGTGTCAGAAATATTTTTGAAATTTTCATCATTTCTTCCTCTTTCGCTGTAGCAAAATTAAAATCGCACGAAAGTGCCTCGGCAGGTAGTCCTTCCCATTGACTGAGTCTGCGGTGCGCCTCCGCGTTTTAGGCGGTTCGGGACCCCCCCACCCCCTCTGGAGCCCGGAGGCCGCAGGACGCAGCCTCCCCGGTGGCTTCCAACAGCCAGGCTCGCAGCCGTGGCCCTGCGGGCTCCCATTCAGCGCTCCTTCTGCGTTAATTTTTAAGACAACGAAAGAGACGTGTAGATTCAGAAACGGCAGAGAACCACCCCTGCAAGGATCGCTGCACATTGGATTCTGCTGTTTTAATTGGCAGCTGCTGTCATTGTGACACTGTTGTGGCTGTTTTTCCTTCTTCCTGAAATATTAGCACAGGAATCTTAATTTCCTTAATTCTGCCATTATGGGCAAGGAGAGGACGTGAAATTGGGAGCTCTGTGAGGAATGTGTTCTGACAGACGTTTAGTCCTCCGAAAATGTGTGGATGAGCTCGTGATGAACCGATGTGTGATATCTCAGTGTGGAATAACCAGATACCTGGGGGCATATGGGCTTAGTTGCGGGACAAGGACGGAGATGTTTCTTCCCTTAGCCGAGTAATGAAAATATTAGTGTCTGTTGCATTCACAGGATATTTGGCTGCAAATAACAATTTTCCAGTGCTGTTGAAATAGAAATTCCTGTAATAATATAAATGATGGATAATTGCACAGTCTAATACCAAGGAACCAAATTTGTTATCCCATTTAATTTTACCTAATTTAAACTTTAAAGCCACCTGTGGCCAGTGGCTACCATATTGAACAGCACAGCTCTAAATGATGGCCTAAACAAGTTCTGTGTCTTTTATTCTCTCACATGAGATGAAATCTGGAACTAGGGAGCACAGGGATACAGTGTGTGCTTTAAGAGGTTATTCAAGAAGGGAGCCCCTGCAGTGTTCTTTCTCAGGAGCCCTAACATTTGACTTTCATCCTCAAGGTCACAAGAGGGCTGTATTCGGAGGCATCTGGTCTGAATTCAACACAGGAAGAAGGACATTGGGTAAAAGGTTGGGATTTCACTTTAGGAGGTTTGCTGATCTCTCATTGGCCAGGACTTGTCACGTGGCCATCCCTGCCTGCAGGAGAGCCTGGGAGTTTATGTATTTCTCTGACCAGTTCTATTGCAGAGCAAGCCAAAGGAGGACAAAGTGGGCATGGAAACGGGGTGCACTGGTCTATAGTTTTTCCATAGCAGAAAGTCAGTTATACTATGGAGTTCCACAGTCATGGGCCGGAGTTGTGGATTTCCTTTTCAAAGACCTAGGTGACAAACTAGATGTCACTAGACGTGGAACTTCAAGGCTATTTAGCTCTATAGAATATGCAACTAGAACTCCAATGTGTTGCAACAATGATGACTAGAGAGTGTTGCATTTAAGGAACGCCAGCGGGCTAATGTAAGTGGTCTTTGAAGTATTAAAAACAACTAAGCATGTGACTTAAGAAATAAAGATACTAGAGTTTGAAATTCAACACCAACACGTTAACATATGTAGGTATCTCATGGCCATAGGACGTGTAAGAAGCACAGACTAGTGCAACCTGTGACCATGGGGCACCCTGGAATACCCTTACCCCAACATTCCCCCTCTCAACCAGGAGCAGATATTTAAAACCTCCTTTTTCAGAATAGAGCCCTGAGGCTTGTTGCACTTAAGGTGCTTGTCCAGGGCTCTGTAACCTCCACTTGACAGTCAGGATTTTGATCCCAGTTGAAGCAGGAGGAAGCCAGGGCTCTGCGGTCACTCAGCCCTGAGCTCCCAGTCTGGTTCCTTCACTTACTAACGTGATATTTCTAAGATCCATATCTGCTCATATTTGTTACTCAGCTGGAAGTCCATTAAGAGTGGCCACCCTATTAAATAAAATTGGCCCGCAGTACCGTACCCCCCAGTATCAGAGGGGAGGGTACCTGCCCAAGAAACTGAGCTTCACAAGAGGTAAGAACTTCTTCTAATTATCTTTTGATCCCAGCAGAGCCTATGGCACACAGTAAAGACAATAAATAATTACTTTATCAAACAGTGATCAATAAATCTCCCATTTGTGGAGGACAATTAGCTTATATATTTTTTTCTCTATCAAAGACGGTTTTTTCAGGATGTTTTGGGTTTCTTAGTTTTGCTAAGAAAATATAAGTGTGAAATTAAGGTACATTTTGTGAATGTCTTCCAGTATTTTATTCAGTATATTTAAAAATTTTGCATGTTTAGTGTAAGTATTTTTCAGTGGTTTCTGTAATAATTTCTCTCTTTGAATTGGTGGTTAGAGAGTTTGATGTTCACTTAAAATGGAAACTAAGAATAGAAGGATTTCTATAGCCTGTTCTCTGCATGTAGATACTTTTATTCTGTCATTTACATAACAGGTTGGTGTCGTTTATTCTTTTTAAGCATTTTTCCTAAAGTCGAGTCCCTTTTAAAATGAATGCATTTTTCCTGAAGTCGAATCCCTTGTAAAATGAATGCATTCTTCAAACATCCAAAGGCCTGTTGCAAAAAGTTGAAAGAAACTATAGGTATTCTATAAACCAACAGACAAGTTAGTTTGCTTGGTCTCCAAAAGGAACCAATGGGATGAAATTAGCTAGCATTTAAAAATATACAGCACAGATGGGAATAGAAGCTAACTTGATCCCATCCTTTCTTCAAATGTAGATCATGCTCTTTACCTATCTGACTGCATTTCAGTGCTAAGTAAAGGAACGTTTAGTGCCGTGTTCAAAAGTCCCTGGTCTTAACTGCGTCAGGAGGAAAATTTTATAGATTTTATAATGCTAAGAATAAAGACTTCACTTACCTAACTCTCTCCTCTTCTAAATGCTGGCTGGGTGAAAAATAATACTCTGAAATATAGTTTATCTTCCTACCATGGTGTTCCGAATTCTGGAAAAACTAAGAGTTTTCTTATGACTCTCCACCTCCTCCAGTACCAACGGACTCCGAGAATTTCCGGGACCCTCATCTCAGGAGGAAATGGTTTTGAAGTCTCCTCATTGGTTCCCTGTGAGTCCAGAGGCACAGATTCATTTCAGAGGTCCTTAGGTTAGGTACTATATTTCTACGTAGAATATAATTCTTCTGGGAAAATATGATAAACAGAATATTACAGAAATAATAAAGCAAACATCCAGACCCAGAATTAATGAATGTTAAGATTATACCATGTTCACATTAGAGTTTTTTGCTCTTAAAGAAGTAAAATAGCATGTATGCATAACCAATGGACATAGACAACAATGCTAGGAGGTGGGGGGCAGGTTGGGGAGGAGGGGGCCAAGGAGGGGGAGGAGAAACATCTGTAACAAAAATAAATTCATAAAAATTTTTTAAAAAGAAGTAAAATATTAGAATGTTGAATCTACCTGTAATTTCCTATTCTATTTTCTCCTGTTCCAGAGGCAACCTTATCTATATTTGACATGTATATTCTTATGATTTTAATACGTATAGTTTTATGTACAAACAATATGTCTCATTGGCTCTGCCTTGAAAATAAGGTATATCATCATCCCAGTCCCTTTCACCGGCTCCGCCTACTTCCTAGGCCTACTCGTCTGATACTGTGTCGGGACTGCTGCACCATCTCCTAGCTGTGCTTGGCTTTCTCTCTCAGTAATACCCCGACACTCGCCGTGATTTCCCCACCCAGCAGCCAGACTGGTCCTTAGAGCATCTAACTCTCCTCCTCCTAGCCCATCAGTGGTCTCCATCACCCCTGGAACAATATCCCGAGTTCTCGGCATGTTCACAGAGGCCCTGTGTGACCCAACCTTCAGTTCCCCACTTTCCTCTTGCTCCCTGCCCTGCAGGCACACTGGCCTCCCAGCTGTTTCGGGAGCACATTTCCATCGCTGGGCCTTGGGTTCGCGTGCCCCTCCCCTTGGGTTACCCTTCCCCAGGCCTGCCCCTGCCTCACAGGGCTTCAGAAATCACTGCCTACCTTTGGCTTTTGTTCAAAAGTTACCTCATGGCGGGCTGGGGAGACCAATCCATCTATAGTTGCTCCTCCTTCACAATCCTTTCAGGCTTTATTTTTCTTCCACACAAGGTGCCACCACCTGACAGAATTTGCATAGGTATACCTGTATGCATGCATTTATGTTTGCTGTCTGTTTCTTCACTAGATTATAAGCTTTTATTAGGTCAGAGGCCTTCTTTGATTGCATTCTTTCTGTGCTTAGAATAATGGCTGGCATGAAGTAGGTACCTCAGAAATATGTGTTGAATGAAGAAATACAGAAATTTAGTGTTCTGTGTTTTCTAAGACTACATATTAATTACGTCATACAGTATGTATCTTGTGGCATCTCGCTTCTCTCCATCAACATTGTTTTCAAAATGTGTCCATGTTTATGTATATATGTATATATATAAACATAAGTACAAAATATATAATATATAAATATCTATCTCTATATATTATATATATTTTTTAATTGTGGTATATTATTTTATACATTTTACTTTTCCATCCCCTTATTTCTAGATTGTAGTTACTTTTAGTTTTCACTTTTCTAAGCAGTGCTTAGAGAAACATTCTTTTAAATATACTTTCCTTGATTTTCCTTGTAGATATATAACAGAATAAATATTTCTCTGTTTTAACCTATCAGTTAAATTCATCTACCAAAATAATTGGACTGAAATTATTATTATGTTTTTGCCTAGAAGATTAGTCTATTATTTACCAAATGTTCCTATGTAAATCTAAAACCCTAAACCCAAAATAACCAACATAAAAACTTTTTTTAAAGAACAAGTTTAATACTGTATTTCTCTTAAGTGCCTGCGTGCTGTGCATGTCCTGCTGTCACTTCGCAAGAGGTGATGTCACCTGCATGCGTGTTTCCGCAGGCGGTGGAGCAGTATGATCGTCTGAACCACTGCGGTCCCAGTGGTTTAAGCAACACTATTCTCCCACCAAGTCACAGAAGAGCTTTTCAGAATTTTGCATTTTGCTTGCTGAAGCATAAGAAAAGCCAATTTTGTTACAAAATTGAGGACTGAAGAAGTGATAAGAAAAAACACTGAAAAAAATCAGTAAGAGCTGTAATACTGAGGCATCACGTAGACAATCTCCAAAAAGATTGGAGCCTTCAGTGTGCTTTGAAAAGATGATGACATCATGTATTTTGACTGCGAAGTTATGAATGCCACTAAAACAGAAAAAATATAAGTTAAGGGAAGTTTGATAACTTAGAATTTTTGTCAGGACATTACAATTTCAAGTGACAAAAAACCTAGGTGTTAATTATTTGCAGAAATTCTCAGTGAAGAACGGGCTTCTGTCACGCCTGAGCCCAGAGAATATCGTCCCCCTGTCCATCTCCGGGCTGCCTTCTCACAGCCTCCCCGCTGAGGTGGCTGAGTGTCCAATAGCTGCCTGCACACATCCTCTCTGCTCCCCGGCCCTTCGTGACCAGCCGTGCCGCCCTCCCTGCAGATCTACACGTTTCTGGAACTGAACATCATTTTCCTTGTCTGCCTGGCCTGAACCACATGCTCCCCCTGGGCAGGGAAGGGGTCAGCACAACTCAAACCCATGGAGAGAAGTGGTACATTGTACCTTCCAAAGAAACAGGGATGACTGTCAGGGAAGCAAAACAAAACAAAGTATTATCTGTCCATTATATATACCTCTGATCAATAGCAGTAAGTGGCATAGTTAGGGTTTGAATTCAGATTTTTATGCTCCAAACACTTCTTAATCTTTACACTGCTCTTCATCTCCAGATAATGGCCATTTAAAATCCATCGTGAGATCATTTCTCAATCTCTTGAACTTCTGTGAAAAAATATGCCATTTTGTTAAGGAAATGATGTGTAAAAGCATCAGCATCCTCGTGATATATCCCTTAACAAAATAATGAGCATATCAATATACAGGGGAATATTATTTCTAAAAGCTACAAATCTTATAAAGTTTAGCTTAAAAATGTAATGCTTTAGTATCTAATTTCATAACATATTTTTGCATTGAATAAAATGTCTCTCTTTACATCTTCAAAATAAAGGCTAGTTAGCATAGAATGGAGTTTCTCCTCATTTTTAATGTGAAGGCTGCACTACCATTTTCTGTTTTTCCCACCAGTTCATATAGTCTTTATCAGTATTTCAAAATGTTTTATTTCAATATATTTGACCTCTGATTTTGGGGAGAGCTCTATTCCCTTGGAAGAAAATAAACAGAAGGAAATAATGTAACTCAGTGGAAAGAGTACAGGATAAGGAATCAGAAAGCCAAGTTAATGGTCCCAACTTGACAACATTGTGTGAATGGGGGATGGCAGCTGATATTCTCACTTTCTGAGATGACCTCCTATGACTCTCATGGAATCTCTTTAATGCCTATATTTTCATATTGAGAGCAGTAGAACTTGTCAGATTAGCCAATAAAGCAACATTCACTCTCTCAGACAAAATGAATTGAGAGTCTGTGCCAAGGTACTGTGGTAGATGGGTTAAGGCTGCAAGGTGGCTCCTCAAGGGAGCCTGTTGTCATCCTCTAAAATGCATTGTCATCCTCTAATGTGTGCGAATACTGTGCTGGAAGCTGGGGCTGTAAAGATGCAGAAAAAAAGCTCTAAAAGGCTTGTAGTTGAGCTGAGAGATGTGGGCAAACAGAGAAGCACGTAAATATACAAGGCAGTTACACCACATGAATAGGACAAACAAATGCTTCAGGCATTCAGCTTCTAGTGAGCACTTCAGACCCTGTTCCACATACCTTGTAATATGGGTGAATCTAACTGCCTGTGTGAATATCAGCACAGAGGTAAACATAAGAGGTCAAGGTTGGTGCACAAGGACTAGACGTTGACCGGTGATATCTAGATCCAGAGTGCACTACATAAGGAAAGAGAAAGATTGAGAAGCTCTCCGCAAACCAGAGAAATGATCCTACATAACACATCATGCCATTGTCCAGTATAGTTCCTACCAGCATGTGCTGTAAATAAAAAAATACGCCCTGCATTTCCCAGACTCAGTATGAAGAAGAGTGATACATTGGGTGAAATAAAACATTATTAAAGTAATTTTTTAAATGTGGCTTCTAGGAAATTTACAATTACATATACGGTTTACATTATGTGACTATTGGACAGCACTATTCTACTTGACCAGATTAGGAGCTGGGAGTGCTTTATAAACCCTTTATACATAGAGTTCTCAATTTTTTTTTTTTTATTTATTTTTTTACCAGTTCTCAATTTCTATTTGTGAGGAAGCTATACCTTTATTTTTCTAAAACCTGGTCAATAATTTTAAGTTGTGTTGGGGGAGCCTTGGGTGAGAGAACTACTACTTAACTGAACATCTACTCTTTTCTGGGCTGCCACAAGAAGTGGGGTTTCTTATCCTCAGTTCAAAGGAGGCTCATTGGGGTTAAGTAACTTATCCTTGGTCAACAGAGAGCAAATAGCAGAATTTGGCCTCGAGACCAGCCAACCCTGTGCCAAGTGCTCATGTGTATACTGTGCTGTGTGCCCAGAGAACTCCTGCAGAACTGGTACTACCTAATGACGAGATTGTCAGGAAGTCACCAGCAGAGTTGCAGACCCGCACACAGAAAAGAAGGCAGTCCAGGGATGGAGAGCCAGGTCTTCGGAGTCACCAACTTGGTGGCTGGTAGCTACTTTGTAGAGGGGCAAATTATTTAAATACTCTGAGATTCAGTTTTATCAGCTGTAAAATGGGGATGGCAGTAATGCTGTTCTTACACATCTGTTCTAAGAGTTAAATCAAATGCTATTTAGAACCCAGCCCACAGTTAGGATTCAAGAAATGATAGCAATGTGCTCAAGGTACAGGGCCAGAGATAATAAGCATGTTGGTAGAGGGCCCTGTACTCACCTGATAGGTCTGGAATTCGATGAGCACTGCTTTGGTCTCCTTAATTTACCAGCCACGTGATGTTGTGCCAGTAATTTAACTTCTCTGTGCCTCAGTCTTCATCTCTATTCAATTTGGGTTTTAATAAGGGTCCCATCTCCATTGTTGTTGGGATGATTAAATGAGATATTGCATGAAAGGTGCGTAGAATCCCCACCTAGAGCAAAATAATGGAAAATTGTAGTTGAGTTGTTGCTTTTGCTGTTCTCATTAATATTCAGAAGACATTTACTTTTAAAAATTGTATTTATATCTTTGTTTTAAATTAGTGTAACTTTTTAATTATTTTTGTTTTATTTAATTTGCTTTTTTTGAATTGCTTTTAAATTTAGGGGTTATAAACAACAGTGCTTTCTGAATTCATTTCTTCTAGTCTCTTCTCATGTAGCAAAGGCTACGCAGGAGCTGGTCTTTAATAGTCACTAGACACCTCACCTGAAATGTCTTCTAGTTTGCTACCCAAACATTTGTGGATTTTATCTTGCAAACCCCACTGGGAGAGAGAACAAACCCCCCATCTTCTTTTAGGATGCTGGGAAAATTAATCCTAAGGATCATATTTCTATTTTTAATATCAACATCCACATCCCAGATTTTGAAAATGTATTAAAAGTTAAATATTTTTAAGGCATTTTTAACTTTTTGAGGGTATTACTTTGACAGTAACTAACTGAGGCTTCTCTCGTTATGCTTCGCATTAAATTACTAAATCTACCTTATCTAAGTATTTTTCTTTAATACTTTGGAAGAATGGTGTGGTAGTATGCAGGGTTCTACTGAAAATAATGTCATAAGGTGAGGGGAATGTGGTAAAGTGGTTAACAAGCCAGTCTTTGGAGTCTTGAAGAAGAGAGTTCAAGTCCCATGTCTGCTATTTACTATTTGACCTTGAGCAAGCTTCTTCAACCTTGCTGATTTTCCATTCTTTCTTTCGTTAGGTGGAAATATGAATAGTACCTATCTCAGAGGCCACTGTGAGACTATCACTTAGCATATAGTAAAAACACAGTGAATTATAGTGAGAAGGGTGTTGATGCTAATACTTTTCTGTTCTTTGATGGATAAAAGTCTGATAAGGGCACTATCTCTAAATCGCTTCTGTGAATTTGTTTGTTGGTTGGTATGCTACAAAGAAATGTTACCACAGTGCTACCTAGCATTTGTCCACACATCTTATTGTCTGGTTTAGATGATATGCCACAACAAAAATACACGTATAGAGGCACATTTCCCACCCATAACTGAAGAGCGATTGCACCTAATACCCACCTGTGTTATACTCACCGTACAGCATTTTCATAGGGAACGGCAGCTTGCTGTGTGGAGTTTGGTGTCTCCGTTTTCTTTGGTTGCTCTTCTGCATGCCAGCCCCTCCTCCAACAGCCTGGGCTCAGGTGGAGGTGTGGGCGGAGCTTGCCAGACTTCAAGTACCAGGCTGTCGGGTAACAGAACGCTCATCAGATCTGACCGGCTCAGCTCCCACAGGGCTATAAGGTTGCCTCTGGCCTGCACAGAAATGACGAAGGACAAAAACAGCCCAGGGTAGGTGGATCTACCTGCTTCATCTGTTGTTACTTCCTCTGTTATTATGAGAAAACGTTTCCTAGTTACATTATCAAATAGATCTCTGGTTTCTGTCAAGTGGGGAATCAAGTCTTTGTGTTTATGGGCCCAAACAGATGGATCCCTGTTGCCATTTGTGTCCTGGTGAAAGGGGACCCTGCCGGGGGCACTGGTATTAAAGAAAGGGAAAACCTCCGACACGCTTGGCTTGCTGTATCCATTACATTGGACTCCTTTTAAAACCATACTGTTTTCTAATTTTTTAACTTTTTTTTTTTTTTTTCTAATTTCACCTCAGCACCACCTGTCATTTACTAACACCTCTTATTGTATGACTTAAATTATTTTAATGGTATGGGCAGATAGTCATACTTTTAATTCTCCATGAAAAGTCTCTGTTGTAACCCAGGAGAGTCATCCTCACTCAGACACCAAATAATTTTGAATATTAGGAGCTTTATTACCTGCACAGGGACTGCAGCCAACCTACACAGAGGAGAACTGCAGACCCGAGCTCAGGGGAGGGTTGCATATATAGGGCAGGGGTTACTCAAGAGTTTAGCAGAGCAAGCAAGCTACATGTACAGAAGCAGATATCAGCAGTTAGTAGCTGTACAAGTTGTTTATTTTATGTTTCTTAACATTTACTAGACCCTAGCCTTGAATGTCTCATTGCCCCGTCTGGCATCTCCTGATTAGTTAAGCTCATGGTCAATACCCTCGTGGTCATGGCTGATGCATACCTTCCTCTTCAAGAATTTTTGCAAAAACAACTCGGGTTCAAGGAACCCAGGAGAGGTTCCTTCTTCTAGCGGATGGAAAATTACTGGATTATAACAGTCTCTTAAGCACTTATATATTTTAATATGTTGTATTTAGATCAATACATTGTTTAAAATCACTTTAAAATAATTACTTTAAAAAACAAGTCATGAAAATTTTTGTCCATTTTTTTTTTTAGGATAATAGCTTTTCAAGAACTTTTTATTTTAAAGTAACAATGGTGTGGTTTTAGCAACATAGAACATTTCTTGGTGGTGTTGGCGTTGCTTTTGCGTTGTTCATGGCCACTGGTGCATGCCCGTGTGATTCTTCAGAGCATCAGATAGACCACAGGTGCAGAAACTCATTTTCCACACCAGAAGTACAGCAACTTTCTTTACCCACTAAATCGTTCTCTCTTTTCTTTAAATGATAAGATTGCATTTTCTTCTGCTTTATTTCAGTAAGATGTAGACAACAGAATTGATAGTGTTTCACATCACTTAAGTGTCAAAATTATCTTACATTACTATATTCTTTTAATTAATTAAAGCTTTATTTCCTTTCTGATGCTGAGTTCACAGGTGGGAGGGTGGGAGTGAATGTAATTTTCGAAGCTTGCGTATTTAACCAGATTACTTAATTAGCATTCCACTGCCTGACTTGACATTTATAGTTGAACATCAGTTTTCTTCTTGGAAGCCAGAATGCCACAATTATCTGGAAACTAAATTGGAATATATCGCTTTTTCCTGAATTATAGAGATATCTTGGGGGTTGAAATTGCCTAATTAAGAATTAACCTGCTTCAACATGTGTTACCCCCTTTGACTCTTTATTAAATAATGAGAAAAATTTTCAGTGCTTGCCTTCATCAATATATAAGTTACAAAAACCATCCAAAGTTCTGAACCAAAAGCAGATATCTGCATAGAATATGCTTTGGTCACAAAACCAATAGCTTTATCCAGAAACCTTAGCACATTAGTTCTTCAGAAAAAGCCCCAGATAGACAACCACTTACAACTGGAAGATGCTTATTATTTAGTATTGGCCACTATTCCGAATGTAGATGCATTAACACAATTACCACAACCACTCCTGCAATTGGTATCGGTATTATTCCTATTGTACCAATTCCGATACTGAGGTATAAAAAAAGGTAAGGAAATCTATTTTCCAGCATCACACAGGCGGTAAGTAAGTGATGGCAGTGGAGTCCATAGTAGCTGGGCGCTTAATTTTAAAATATTAAAACAAATCCAAGATTAAGTTTTTAAATTTCACTTATACTTTTTCATTAGATATTTAAATTACGCAACCTGTGCAGAATGATATAAATAAAACAGTGAAAAATGTACGAAGGAAAATGTATGCCTTATCTCCTTTCGAAATCCTCCCTGACAGTGGAGACCATGCTTTCACATTTTTCTTCCTGCTTAAACCACAAACACATGTGTGCTCTCTCACATGCATACATGGCCTTAAACAAGAATAAAAATATACTATAAAGATTACTCTGAAATTTGGTATTTCACCAATTTTCATGTCACACAGTCCAGTGATGCTTTCTCTAAGCCAGCAGAGTTATAGCTCAGCGTTGCATTGGTGCATAATATTTCATGAGATGAATGAATCCTAATTTATCATGTTGTGATAGAGGTTCAGATAACTGAGTGATCAATTGCCTAAGTGTTTGAAATAGACACCTGACAGAAAGAATGAATGAGCCAACTGCTTTCACCAAAGCGAAGGTCTGATTACAAAGCCAGTCCTCATAGTTTCTTGGCGTTTTACTCCACCAAAATTATGCCGGGCCACATCCCAAGTGCACATTTCTGAAAATACTCCCCATCACCTCAGAGGCCATAATTGACCCCATATGTTTGTCTCTATGTAGTCCCTTAAGTTAATCTCTTTGAAGCAAACTAGAATGACTTAGGAAATGTTAAAATGGAAATGTCCATATAACATTGCATTTTTGTTGTATGTGAGGGGAAAAACACTAAATCAGTGCAATTCTAAACTTTGGAGTGGAAAGGAAAAACAAAAGCAATTGAAACAATAAACAAGGACAGGCAGTCTGGGGTCTTCAGCCTAGGATGGGCTCTGCAAGGGGGTGTTTTCCGTGGCCAAAGCAGCCGCAGTCCACTGACCGGCACAGCTGTTCAGTCCCACATGTCCTGTGGGCCACGCCAGTATTTCACGTGGAATAACATCTTGAGCAGAGGAGAGGTTTTCTTTCAATGCTTTTATGTTTCCATTGTATACAGCCCTGAAAGATTTTTTTTCTTTTTTAAAAACATTTTTTAAAATGTTAAAAACAACGCAAATCTGTGGTTAGTACTTGCCCTTTGTGCCTCCGAAAAGTAACTCCTTGTTTTTTATTTTCAAGAACAAGCAGCTCATCAAGTTGTTTTCTTGACTTTTCCTGCCTCTAGAATTGGCAGTATTCTGTAAAGCAGCAAAGAGTGATATTCAGTACTATGCCCATCAAGAATAGAGAATGGGAAAAAAACAAAAAAGAGTAATATTTCTTTGTGCGCAGGTGGAACCCATCAAACTAGAGATGCGGAGCCCAACTCTGTTTACAGCTTAAATGTCTAAAATAAATGTTATATTGTATTTGTTTGCTCAGGGTTTAATTGGGGGGGAGAGGGGAGGCAGTCATCTGGACATTCTGTCCTGAACCCTCTGGGATCTCAGGCTACATCTGAGTGCATGACATTGGAAATCCTACAAGTATATATACTGGCTTGAATATATATTTATGCAGATGAATTTTACTCACTTAGAAACAAAAACTTGTCCAGAAAATACAACAGAGTAGTTGTTCTTTAAACATACACTGCTCAGAGTAAAGGATTTGTTCTTAGAATTTTGACATTTTGAGAAATTTCGTGTACATATCTGATCACTTACTTCAAAACCAGCTCAGTTTCAAAGCCATTCCTATAATGATTGTTTCTAATTTAGAATAATAGGAATTTTTTTAATCCTCACCCGAGGATATTTACCTTCAGATAGAGTGGGAGGGAGGGAGAAAGAGGGAGAGAGAAACATCAACGTGAGAAACATTGACTGGTTGCCTCTCGCACAACCCTGACTGGCGGTGGACCTAATCGCAACTGAGTTACGTGTCCTTGACTGGAATCGAACCTGCGACTCTTTGGTCCCCAGGATGACACTCTAACCGCTGAGCCAAACCAGCCAGGGCAATAGCAATTTTTTTCAAATGTTGGATTTGATGATGCTGATGCATGCTGGTTGGAACATTAATGAGTTAAAAATAGCACAAGAAGACAAAGCTTTATATAGTTTACATTTTCATTGTTTTCTAAAAATACTTGCATCTCTTCAGACCATCAATAAAAACAATTAAGTATTGTAAATATATTTGTAATTTAGTTCAGTAAAGATTTCTTTAGCTTTTATTTTTGTAAGGCATTTGACTTTTTATTATAAGACGATTAAAAAATGAATATAACCTGATTTTTGCTCTCCCGAGGTGTACAGGTTGGTGGTTGAGACAGAGTTCCACTTATAAATAATATATATGGTATGACGTCAGCAGGCTGCTACATGCTTAGACAGGACAGTGAACACACACAAGGACACGAGACGATTTGGGGAGAGGGAGCGTGCTGCCTGCAGTGCCCACTGTGCTCAGGTCAGGGGCCCAGAGACCTGCAAATATCTCGGAACATTTAATGTGTAAAACAACAGACCCTGGTCTAACTCCTGACTCCATCTACCTTTGATTTCTTTCTAGTCAGGTCACGTGTGAATAAAGAATTAGGAAAAAGAAGGGGTTTATTCTCTTCAATGGTAACTTAAAAACTATCTAAGATCAATACCAAACCCCACACAGAAACGGAGCATATTAGCTCAATTTTTTATTCTTTGCCTTTTCTTAAATTGATGAGATCCATGGAAATCTGAACTCAAAGATGGCAGTATTTTTTAATCTATCCTGTAAACATGACAGCAAAACAAAACATTGATGTTAAATTAACCATTTGTTGTATGTCTTCTTTGTTTAAATGTACAATACTGAGGAATATAAAAGAGAAACTTGTAATAAATGGAAATTTCCCCATATTGTGTTATCTGTACAAAAGCAAATCTTAGACCACTCAGTATCTACAGACACCTTTTCCTTGTTATGTCAAAGTG